GGGGGGGGGGGGGGGGGGCGAGTATCGAAAAAGCGTAGTGGGCGAGGACACATACGCGTTCCAGCCTCATCATTGGGCGAAAAGGAACAACAACAACAACAACAACAACAACAGCAATGTGACGCATATATTTTTCACACTAACACTCTGACACTCTGACACTCGTGGGTGTCGGCACCACCATAAAAGGGGTGTTTGATTGTCGTACGAGTTGCCTGAACGGCTGCAAGAGGCGAGCGGGGGGTTGTGTACTCGGCAGTTGCTTGCCTCAGGCTTTTGAGAGGTACGCACTGGTAGCACTCTTGATTCAGCGAGTCACTTTCTTGTCTACATGAGCTAGCCACGTTGATTACCACACACACCCTCAGAGAGTGACACAGCAGTCTACCAACCTCTCGCAACACCGCCGCCATCTGATGTATCTTCCACGTTTAGACCTCTCGACTCCTGAACTCACTTCACGAATCAGCCTGCAACAACATGCCCGCTCACAGCGATTCGCTGCTCCTACAGCTAAATAAACGACAGGGCGACTCGCACGCCTAATGCCCCAGCACCAATGCCCCGCCGCCACCGAACAAGCAAGGCCGACACCCTTGACCACCCCTTCACCGTCACTTCGTGCCCCCGTGGACATTGTTTCTACACAGGCTTCGCGTCGCTCCGCCGCTATGTCTGCCAACGACACCGCCGCCCTTCCAAGCTCCCTGCGCTTTCTGCCCGCCAATGTACCGCCACTTCATCCCGTCGGAAGCCGCCTGGGGCGATCTCTCCATCGCTGAACGGCGATGTGCCGTAGACAGCGCCTCCGCCGCTGCCACCACTGCGTGGGACGAAGAGGCGGTCGCCGCGCAGCATGCGCGGGAACTGGCGCTTCAATGGCGGCAGCAGCAGCGAGCTGCCGAGGCCGCCGAGAAGCCCACTACGCTGCGGGACCAGCACGCCACCGCAACCGATCGCCTCCAACAACTCCTCGAAGAATGGGCCGCCTTGGAGCACCAGCATAGCGACAGGCAAAAGCCGCAATCGAACTTGCGGAACGCGAGGAACAAGCAGCCGCCGACGAGAGAGGCAACCCCGTCGACGACTTGGACATCAGGCCCTCTCGCCACACCCAACACCGCACCCGTGCTGGCGCCCGCACGGCCGCTCCCTCCCCGCCATCTTCCTCCGGATCATCTCCACCAAGCCCCGCCCGAAACACCTTCGAAGCCACGGGCATGCTGCCCAACTACGCCGCTGCTACTCTCGCAGTGGTACAGAGAAATCCATCTCGTGGTAAACTCCACACCGCTCGACGTGCTCGCATTAAAACACCTACCAAAGTGGGTTCAGAAACCCCCGCCGGGACCGCGTTCGGCGAGCCGCACGCGCACTCCTCGCCTGTTTGCCTCCGGGCCTGGAGGAAGTACACCGACTTCTTCCACGTGTTGGCATACATTGACTACAACAGACAGAATGGTGTCTCCACCGAAGCATCGCCACCGTCGCTAATGCCCTATCTAGCTGCGTCAATAGATGAAGGCAGTTAGGGCGTTAGCGAACGTGACGGTGACTTCGGTGGAGACGCCGTTTGGTCGGATGTGGTCCACACACGGCCAAACGTTGGGTCAAGTCGGCGTTTTCCACCAGGTCTGGAGGCAAGCAGGCGAACAGTGCGGGTGCGGCTTGCCGAACGCGGTCCCGGCGAGGGTTGCTGAACCCACTTTGGTAGAAAGGTGTTTTTTTTTCGAGAACGGCCAGGGGTGTGCAGTGGTACCACGCGACGAACTCCTCTACACCACTGCGAGTGGTGGCAGTGCAGTTGGGCAGCATGCCCGTGACTTCGATGATGTTGCGGGCGGGGCTCGGTGGCTGCTTGTTCCTGGCTTTCCGCGAGTTCGATTGCGGCTTGCCTGTCACTCTTTTTGTGCTCCAGGGCACCCCTCCGCCCATGCCATCTCTCTTATGTCTTGCCACAAGGACATAATATGTCGACGACACTATCTTTGCATACGTACTGACACGTCTCATCCTACCTCGGGGAACCAGTTGACCTTTGGCGAACCCCCTGTGGCTACGGGAACCAACGGGTGGAGGTGGCCAAACCAAACGGAGTGGACACATCTATGGATTCTAGCATGAGCTCCTTCCCCCACGAGGGAACATCCTACACCACGGCAGACCAAGGGAAATGGCACTCGTCGTTTCAGAACCTCTCGCCTCAACCCGTTGGCGAAAATCGGGAGGGGGGAGGGGGGTTCACCCTCCTAGTACTGGAAGCCCAAACGGGGACACTTTGGGGGACACAACACTCACATGCCTATGTACCGCACTGTAGTCACCCTAGGCTCCGCTGTGTGCAATGCACGTCAGAACCCTTGGTCTTTCATGCTTGGCTGAGGTGATACGCTGTGTGGTATACTGTGTGGTGCCTCTCCTGAGCCTCTGACTTGCTGAACACATCTCCCAACCCGCGTGCCCCCCAGGTCGCAAAACTGTAGCATATATCGCCTGGTACTAGAAAAAATTGCTGACTTGGCTTCAGTGTGAAAAGTGCTCCCACGTGCTTTTGGGGACAATTTTATACTGAAGCCAAGTCACCCTTTGTGTGGCGAGGAGCTCAGATTCTTTGGAGGGACTGTAGCCCCTCGACCAATGGCTGACAAACAAAATGTCGGCATTTTTTTTTGCGGAGAGACTGGGTACTAGAAAGGTTAACCATCCCGTTAGGCCCGTTTTACCGTCCTTCGAAAGGCGGACGGGATGGAAGACCCAAAGGAAAAAAACCATACATCTTGCCAACCCGGGGTGCTCCTACACGGAAAACAAGCATGACACACACCTTGGTCCTCCCCGTGCTTGCTGGGCCATCTTGGCGGCTTCCTCCGGAGAGAGAGGTCCGGGGAGTTGCAGCGCTTGCTTCGAGGATGCCGCCGACTGCTGCTGCTGCTGCTGCTGCCTGGACGCCGCCGCCTCGAGAGCAAACTGCTTGTGGTCCTGTTCGACGGATTTGATTGGGGGGTGGGATCGGCGTGTGTATGAGGACAACTTCAAAAATTCAGCGCGTAAGCGGCGCATCTTGATACGCCCACGCCGTTTGGCAAATCCCATGTTGCATGCAGCAACCGGCGCGCTCGGGGGCACCAAGTTCTCTTCCTCTCTCCCCTCTCTCCAGCATTAGCAATAGGGAAACGTTTGCCTCCACAAAAAAAGCTGTACAACCTTGGTACATACCAGTACTTGATTACGTGATGGACACTACCAACCACGAGAGCGCCACAAACCACCACCTCGCGCGACATACCCGAATCCCTCGCCACACATTAGCAACCAACCAAGCACCCACACACGCTTGCTGACAACGAAACCACAGCGAGCGAGCACGACGCATAACGGCAAGAACGGGGAGAAGCAGCAGGACGAGGCAGGCACGCACCTCTTCCATCTTGAGGCGGGCCTTCCGCTCCTCGTCGAGTTTCCTTTGCAACGCCAGGATCTGGTTCTCCAGCTTCGCCGCCTCGCGGTGTTCCACCACCAGTACGGCGTAGTTGCGCCGGGCCTGCGCCCCTCGCACGAACGTCTGCACCGCCACCGCCGCGCCTTTTCGCCGAAAAAGAGGTTTATTTGTTTTCGCAAAAAAAAAAAAAATGGTGTACGCATAGGAAAGATCATGTGTTGGTGCACCGGGTCACCATGGGTGGAAACGGTAGGTAGAGAGGGGTCGATATCGTTCTCGCGAGTTGTGCTCTGGTGTGTGCTGTGTACGATGCCCATTCCCTACGGTCGCACGCCCGCATTGTTGGACGGCTGTGTGGTCGAAAGCGGCGGTTCGGTCGATTGTTGCCGAAGCAAGAAGGGCGGGGGGGGGGGCACGGGCTCGCAAGGACAAGGCCAACCAAACGCCAGACAAAACAAACACAACAAAATCATCGTACAATAGCCACTAGCACCAGAAGAAGTCCAAAATAAGACGTAGAGACACGTCTTTGTCGTATTTTCATCTCCGAACGGACGGCAAACCCCCACCACGACACACGCCAAAAAAAAAGACAAGTCAACAATACACAGCAGAATTGGGCCCCACACCTTGCAAGGCGGCGAAACGTCTTCGCGCGACCAGCATCCTCCGGTACGCCTGCAGGCACGACGCCGCCCGGTGTCGTCTCATCGCCAGGACCACCTTGGCGGCCTTCACCCTCCTCCAGCAACTCTGCCATTCCCGTCAAGGGACAAAAGAAAAAAAAATGGATAGTCGAAAACATAAGCTCGCAGTGATTGTTCTTGTCGGAATCTACGACGATCGTCTACCTCGGCAGCAGAGCGTCTGGTACCGCAAGAGTCTTTCGGTTCCTTCGTACGACCATGACGTCGTCCTTCCACCGTCCGGTGTGCCATCTATCATCACTCCACCCCAGACTCACCATCCCTTCGCCCCCTTTCAAGCTATGCAAGCAAGGCAGCGTCACAACACACGACGCAAATACATACCATCCGAATGGCTCGGTTCCGGATTGCTCCTCAAAGAAAAAGCGCGTTGGTTCGGCTAAGAAAGCGTCTGTTCGATTGGTAGGTAGCCTACCAAAATCACCAATTTTTCCGATCTTTGACTTCATTTCCGGGCAACGATAGTTCTACAACACACACAGCCGTCTTCCTGCCAACGAGAACATCGAACCAACCCAACCCCCACCCAAAAAAAATGACAAAAAAAAACGAACATCGAACTCGAGAAGCAAACCGCACCTGAGCCCTGATCACCCGTCCCCTCGCCGTCAGGAACCGCCTCCTCTCCGCGACCCTCCTCCACTCCGCCTGCGCCCTCACCGCGCCTTCCCTCAGGTCCCTGTACCGTTTCTTCCTGGGGAACATTCTCGCCACCGCCTGCAGCACCGTCACTCTCGACGAACGCTCCTCCAGCCGAAGCGACTCTAGGTGCTCCAGGGCTCCCTTGCGGAAGTAGACCTTGGTGCGACCCATCTCGTACCGGAGGGGGGCGTCCTGCGAGGGGGGGGGGATAGACATGGCTGTTTTGGTTAAAGGCCGTGCAGGAGGAGGAGACAAGCAAACAAGCAACCATCGATACGACGTCATTGCGAAATCGACCGACTAGCAACCGAGAAGTTGGAGGAGTTGTACAAGGGCGAAACGCTGCGCCATGGAGCGAGACGCCGCCACCGAGGAATACGGCACGTTGTAGCTTGCCCTTAGGTCGAAACGACACTGTGCAACATGAAACCGCGCCCTACAAGAGCGATCTCCATTGCCACTTCCGGGTGAGGTGGAAAGGAGACCAAAGAGTCAAACGCCGTCGCTTGGGTAACGGGTGAAGGGGGTGGGTGGGATACTTAGGTCGCTTGGCGAGAGGGAAGCACCACCACCTCCAAGCGTCATCTCGTGAGAACAATACAAATCCATCACGGACAATGGAACACCGCCAACACAATCAAGGATAACAGCACCAACAGGAAGTCAAGATCACCTCTCCTCCTTCTCGCGGTAGAAGCTTCCCCAGGAGAGACGTGCAGATGGCCATGTCTCCCTCCCCTCTGCTGACCCCCGCACCGAGGAGGGCAAACCTGTAGGGTACATACGTAGCAGGTGGGGTGCGGTGCAATAGAGGAGTGAGAAGAGGGGGGGGGGGGGGGGGGGGGGG